CATTAGACTGTTTTTTGTTGTCTGATGTCTCGTACACGTGAAGGCTACGAGGGGAAAAAATTACTGAACACTTGGGTTTCTATGTGGAACACCCTGTACGCCCGGAGATATTATCTGAGGTTCAACTTCATTTTTCATATTCTGTCTGACTTGGTTATCCATTATTCATGGAATACACTCCCATACAAACCCATAGAACACCTTATAACTATACATAACCCAATATACTTAACCCTAGATACCCCCATATAACCCCCGTAAAGCCCCTTAAAGCCCGATGTAATCCTATATCGCTCATGTATAACCCTGTGAATCAGCTATGTGACCCTTTGAGATGGTTGATGATATCAGCCTATTTGGGGTTTAGCGTTCAGGGTTTGGGGTTTAGGGTTTAGGTTTCAGAGTTTAGGGTTTAGGGTTTAGGGTTTTGGGTATGAGAGGCCTTATTCATGGATGCCTTTATGGTACAACCCTGAACCCTTCGGTGTCGCCTTGTGTCAGGCCCAACTGCAAGGTCAGCATAAGGCCTCCGTGTGTGCTTGAATTTTCGCTTGACTTTAGGGTTGTGGGTTTAGGGCTTGTAGTCCTCCTGAAGTAGAATATGGCCTTGGGTATATCATGATAAGATCCCCACATACCCCACCCCGTAAGGCCTGTAAGGGCACAATCACCCAAAATTAGGGCTCGAGGTTCCTTGCAAAACATATGGTAGAGGGTACCCCTAGACTGCTAGAGGTAGTTATTTGCCATAGACCTCAACAGTACCTTTAATTGGGGCTTGTAGGGCCGCTGATTGATTGTGGTATTCATGAGGTGGACCCCCCACCCAGTAATAGTAGCTATAAGAGATAATGAGGATTATATTCGTGTCCTCTTATATTCCTATTATACCACTATTACAGGGTGGGGGGTCCTCCTAAGGTATTCATGTTGGAAGAGAGGCAAGCTGGAGGGCCGAGATGATCCTTACAAGCTGGTCCGAGTCCGTTATGAAAATTATAGTCCGCCTTAAGTAGATGGGTATAGGGTATAGGGTTTAGGGTTCACGGTTATATATCCTCCTTAAGTAGATAGATTATAGGGTATATGGGGATCTTACCATAATATACCCAAAGCCATATTCTATCTACTCAAGAGGGACTATAGCTAGTGCTTCGCCTCCTCATTCGCAAGATCTCTACCAATGCCCAGAGAGCCCAATACCCCTTAATGAAGGAACATACCCTAAATGGTACTACGGTCCCTAATAAAGATTAAGCTATATTCCTTACTTTAGGAGTATTTGGCTCCCTGGGGACTACACCTGGTAGAATTCAGTCGAAACAGTTGTCCAGCCTAGCCGCTCGCGTCGAGATTGTGCGTGTGCCAACAGAGACAGATTGCATAAGCGCATCTTTTGGCAGAAGTTTCTAGAAGAGGTGACGCATAGCCAATGCAGGATAGGTACCTAAATCCATCTTCTATGAACTCAAGCAAGCTGCCTGCAAGTTGACACAAAGAGCGTTTTCCACCACCTGCTGGCCGAAAGTGTCAAATGTGTCAACTGTGCGGCAAATAACGTTCCTTGCCTACAATTTTTACAGGTAGGCAAGGCCGCTCCACACCACCGCACCTTGAGAATTTTGATGATTTTTTTGCGCGTTAGTTTGAGCCAAAGGGGCCGGTATGGCACGTGCAAGAAAGCTTCGGACGGCGACTCTGTTTTTGCATAAGATGTCGACGTAACCGCAGCCCTCTAAGAGGATTGAGAGCACGCCGGTGATTAAAGGGAACATGGAGGCTTTTGAGCAAGGAGAGCTATGTCAGATGAGGCTGGGTTTGTCGCCTCATGTTTGGCGTGTGCCTGCTTGACGGTCTGCCAAATGTCTTAAGCTTGCGACAACACTCTGCAGACAAGGCTGCGTCGTAGTGTTGTGCCTCTTCCGCCTGCAGCAGGCATGTGGCCATCATTTATACGTTGTGCTTGCAATATTTCTAGCTGCGCGATGTGTAGTTGTTTGAACTTGTATTGCATCATGCATGATGCCTGACCGCAAAGTGTTCAGGCACATGAGGTTGCACCCACCGATGCGCAAACTAACGCATGCTTGGATCCACCGCTCGCGAAAAAGAAAACGCCCGTACGGACCAACGCGGTGCGCGCAGAAAGCTCCTTCCGGTTTTCGGCGGCGTTGCATCCCAGGACGAATCGCAAGGTGGCATTCCTAGCTCCACGCAGTTTTCGTAGTGACGTCCGCATGCATTGTGCATTGGTTTGGTCAGCTGGCGGTGCAAAAGGCCGTCGTCGGCAACAGGAAGCACACCCTTTCGCTGAGCCACACGAATCATCAAATCTGGACCGAGCCATTGGCTGCCATGCCAAGACTTCGTGGCAATTGTGCATCGGCGACGTTGGCAACCACCCCAAAATGGCCAATGCAAAGCGAGGTCGAAGAAGCGTGATGAAACCGTTTTTTTCGGTTCAATAGGGTTTTGCACAGCTGTTGCATTCGTTGTTTTGCGGCGAATTGTTGTGGCAATATTCGTAACTCATTATGTACCGCTGCAGGTTAAGGTCAGACCGTGCCAACAATTCGCATGTGCATGGAAGTCTGAACGTTGGTGCAGTGTGTTGCGTTCTCTTGCTTCAAGAGGTCCCGACCACACTCGGGTGGCAGCTTGTGCCACGTCTTTCACATGATCACTTGCTGGTGCCTGGGCGCTTTGCTCATAATGACGTGAAACTACGGCATAACAATCCTGAGCAATGTTATTCGGACAAATTGAGCCACCACGAGTTCAACAGACAAAGTTAGGATAAGGGGTCTTGTAATAGGTGCAGTTCGGATCATGTGTGCAATGGCGTCTTCTTGAAGGTTCGCAGCTATGCCTGCCCACTGCCAACCATGCCAAAGCCAGCTTCGTCTGTCTGCTCTACGGCTTGAAGACGTCCGGAACCACCGTGCAGCTGGTTCTGTGGCCCTGTGGCAGGGGTTTTGGCGCGCGGGGCGTGCTGTAGGAGCACGATGCCACGTGCGTGCCGCGAGGCATTGCAAGGGCGCTGCCTCCACAAACATGGTTTCGCGGGACCTGCACCTGGATGAGGCCCCGTGGCGGACCTCACGCAGCGTGGAATTATTGCGTGGCGCGTCGGTACGGAGCCCAACTGGGACTCGACACCATCACGTGGTTGCCGTGTTGCGATAGCGAAGCACCTTTAGTTGGCGGCCCATGACCAATGGCCCGCCGTTGCCGCCTTATCATGGCCGCAACTTGCTCCGGAAACTGGTGGTTGGTTTGCAAAAGGGGCAAGGTTCGTCGCCTGCTACGTCGCAGCTTCGAGGGGTCGGTGCATTTGCGGGCTGCAGTGCGGGTCTATCGTTGGACAGTTTAGTGGCAATGACAGTGCAACACGCCCTCATTGACATTCTCCCTTGTTGAACTGCCGCTGACGAGTGCAAATGCCATCTATGGGCAAGCTGTTGGCCAATGCCTTCAGCCACCGCGGCAGTGCCACGCACCTGTGCAGTTTGCCCTTGCCTTGGCTGCTGCGGAGCTTGGCTGGCGAAACTTGCGTGTAGGCGGCTGGTTGATTGTTCGGCGACGCTTTGGCGATTGGGCGAGCGCAAATTCAACCGGAATAATCGCGATGGAAAAATCGATTATACCGCCATGGAAACAATTCTGTTTCCGGAGGCCCCGCGTGATGATGGTGCCAGACTAATTGTTTTCTTACTTGGCTCCTGACGGCGCAGGCAGAAAACATAAAGTTCACTATTACGTGATTACGCGTCACCACTTGTTGCACATCACTGTGGCGTTGTTTGTAACATCTTGTGAGAACATCGCACAGGTTTTGTCAATCATGACGACATTGGACACGTTGGACAAGCTAGGTTTAGTCGGTTTTGTCATTTCATAAACAGCTTGAACATTTTTTTTGCGCATCGCACTGCGCAAGTTGCAGCTTCCAAGCATGAAGTCGCCAACATCCTTCAAAGCGTGCGCGGCATGAATTCAACCAGTAATGTGGCGGCAGGCAGTTTTCAGAGCAACCGTGCAAGTGAAATCGCTCGTGAAAAATCACGCACCCGGCTAAACATGTGCCTGATCTTTGGACCCCGTTCGCAAAACAAAGATCAGCTGCAGTGACCGCTACTTCACCAGCCCATGTTTGCCGGCTGTTGAATTCCACATCCATTTGTTGATTCCCGCACAAAAGGGAAAAGTGTGAATAACACGAGCAGTTTCACATTTGGCGTCCAAATCCAGCTTAGCATGGTAACGTGGTTGGGGACAGAAGCATCAATGTCCTCAGTGAGAGCAAGGAAGGATGCAAGTGCTGACGGACCGTGCTCCGCCTGATCCTCGATGACGAGAGTGCATCGGAAGCTTTTGCCGACGTCGCTTTATTGCAGCCAGGTCCCAGATCCCTGTCGCTGTTGTCCGGGCCATCGCAGTAGGACGCCTCGTCGCAACCCGCAAGCCGTCTGGAGGGTGTGCGCGGGCTCGTCGTCGACGACTTCCTGCGCCAAGTCGTCGCCCGCACCTTGGCGCAACAGTTCGCCTCGCCACTCGAACAAACGCGCCTGCCTCATCAATGTGCGCTATCTACGCGTGCGGAGGCTGATGCCCTTGTGCCTTGTGCACGCTCTCCAATCCCGTAGTGCGGCGGACCCGGAGTTGACAGTGGTATCTTTGGATGCGGTTGCGCATTAGATGTTGTCAGACGCTCGGCCATGCTGGTTGCACTCCGGGCCAACCCAGTAGCTGGTGCACTGCTGCCTTTGCGGAAGAGTAGGGGGAGCCACGCATCTCATCACGCAAGCCGGAGGTGGTGAACAAGGAGATCCGCTCATGCCCGGGCTTGTTTCCCTTGCCTTGGCTTCTCCTCTCCGCTCCTTACGAGAGGAGGTGCAACACGGTGAAGGAATCTTTGCGTTCTTGGACGATGCGTACATTGCAGCCTCACCCGACCGTGCCACGCATTTTTGTGACCGCCTTGAGTACCACCTCTGCTCTCATGCGCGGCTCCGGTTGGACACGTCCAAAAGTGCCTTTGGAAGGCTGCTGGCATTGTTCCCGCTGGCTTGGCCCAGTTTGATTGTGAGGAACATGGGTGGGTCGGACCCCACAAAAAACAAACCATCGCATGTGAGCTCGTTATTTAGGTAATTCGGGCAGCCGTTACCTGAGCTTGCAATAATTACGATTATCCTTAAAAACGTTATGGATGTTCTCGCTCACAAGGGTGGAGAAGAACAAACACGTCTTTTTTTTCAACGGACCTTTTTTGCAAACAGTGACGGCAGTGTCGACGCCTGGGTCATCATCATGCTGTTGGGGGGAAAGCATGCGCGACAAGTTTTGCCATGCAGGCAACTCAAAACCTGCTGCGGACAAGGAGTGGCCGGCCAGGCGAAGGGAGTCCAGGGCAAGTGGTAGCGAGCCGCTGCCCGCCAGGGATGCCGACAGGCGTTCAGCAAAGGCGGGTTCACTGCGTGCAAAAAATTGGAGGCCGTCCGCCCAAGAAGCCCAATGTCGCCGGACGGCACTGCGGAGACCCAGGCCGCCGTGCCGTAGCGCCAGCTGAGCCGTGACGGCAGCGAGAGGTGGCAGGGAGTCAAAGTCGGCACCTGGCGACAGTACGGCTGTGAGGCACGACAAGACGGCACGGTCGTGACCAGCTGAAAACTCTTCGGTGAGAGGGAGCGGTACAGTGCGCAGAGCATATTGCACGCGTGGCGCAGCGCAGAAGGACTTCCGGAAGCCCAATGCCAATATTTTTAAGTTGACAGCGCCGTTTTCTGGTAGTTCCTGAGCCAAAACCCATCAACGAGGGGAGAGGACTGAGGACGGGGGCCGGCTGCATGCTAATGTTCCGTTTTTGGGTCGACGGCCCGCGTGGGGAAGATTAGCATGTAGTAGCATGCGGGCCCCATCGCTTTTCCTGCACGACGAGGCCACGTAAGTCAATTAACAAGGCGAGGCGAGACTGCGAAATACACAAATTAGCGAGGTCACACAAGCCGAGGATGATTTATTTTCAAATGTTTTTTTTTCCATAGCGTTTTTGTAATACAAATTTGCGGGCAAACAGGTTCGATGTTTCATTTTTTGTGTGGATGGGTGGTTTTTGGGGGTTGTCATGGTTTGTCCAGATTTTGTTGGAACCGGCGGTTAGGACGAAATGTTGCATCCCGTGATTACCCACTGTTTGTTTTGTGGGACTTGCTTGGCCACGTCTGGCTGCAATCCGACCTTGGGTTTGGCATACCCCGGTACGGGCCGCTGTCAGGTCAACGAAATGATCGGATGAATGTTTCATATCCACTGTCTTGCAGCACTTGTCATTCGTGTTGTTTGTCACACGCATCCCCGAATCCAAAAAAAATTGGACTTCGTGCAGCTGAGGCTCAGGCTTTTGCCGGGCCAGCGGCGCCTCTCCGGCAACAGCCCCCGAACCAATGGGAGATGATGGGAAATGCGAGGGTTTGTACGCTTCCGACCTTGGTCGTACGTGCAACATCAGTGGCCGCATTTTCCGTCGGCAGACCGAGGTGGTTGGATCAATGCACCTGACAACGGGCAAATTAACATGCAGGTCGGGTTGCGCTTGCAAATTGTGTTGAAGCTTGTATTGCTCACCGCAGTGCCGGGTGGCATTTGAGCGGTTAATCCTCGACACGGTGCGCCTTAGCGTTGATTTTTTATTCTTCGCACCTTTTTTTGCCGCAACTGCTCCCAAGGTCCTTGTGCACTGGCGCAGCGCAGCAGGGAATGCTGCGCCGAGCAGGCGCTCACGCCCGGCGGGGCATGCGACTCGCGGCCGGGCCCTCGAGCCAACGGGCATCCGCGAGGAGCTCGTGCAAAGCCGTCTCAGGTTCGGCAGCACGGACGTGGGCTTCGCCGGGCAGCTCGATGAGCGACGAGCTGCACGAGCCGTCGAGATTGAAAGCTTCACACTTGCGATCAAGCTCATTTGGCGGGATGCGTGGCTCTCTGTTGGCACGGTACAGAAGCATGCGCGGCGCGAGGAGGAACAGCTTCAATTCTTGGAGCTCCTGCTGAGGCGAGTGTCGGTCCTGAACGAGCTCCAAGGCCGTGCGGCAGGCAGTGCGGAGCGCTCCCCTGAGACGAGCAGGGAGGCCTTGATGTTGTAAAGGATGATCAGCGGATGCGTGACGGAGACCTTTGATTCGAAAACGATGACATGTTGCACCAACCTTTGTCCTGGATGCATAGCAACATCCTGTCATATCCTGTCCATACATGTGTTGTGAATCGGCAAAATCACATTTTTCCCTGATGCCGTATGTGCGTCGCTCAGCCTTGCCAATCAGTTATGGCCCCCGACAATGAGGTGTGTCCAACATGACATCAAAAAGTGCGACCTGTTTGCCCTGTAGTTTGAGAAGTTGCTTGTTAATTTTGGCATCAAAGGGTTTCGTGTGTTTCATATGTGTCCAGGCGGCGCGATTTGCAGATTTTGATGCAGCGAGAAACGGATTTGTGAACTTGGGGAATAACCTGGGCCACGGGCATGTTTCCCGCGTGTTTTCTGTGCTCTGTCTTGGCAAGCCATCGGAAAACCTGCCAACAGCAAAATCGGTGGATTGGGTTTGGGGGTCAAGTTTTGCGTATTTTTGGCTCGTCAGCATTCGATGTGGCATACGGTGGACACTAACATGCCTGCATGACCCTAAGTCACGCTTCAACGGCCTTGGCACGCCGTGTGATCAAATCGTGGTGGTGTTGTGCAAGGGCAAATGTAAAGTTTGCCGCGATCTGTTGGTCCTGGCGCCTGAATCCAAGCATGCGTGAGCACATTTTATTTTTCCGGAAACGCTGCGCGGAAGAATATCAATGCGGCCACAACAATCATGCCCTGTGTCCGCCACATTTCACCCGAGTGGGCAGCTGTAGGATGCCGCAGGCGGCCCAACTGTGGCATTGCCAATCAACATGCTGTGGCGCGATCGCCGCAACGCAAATATTATGAGAGGAGCAACCCATGCGGCCCAGTCCGCTGCGAGTTCCTCACATGCTCGGCACCTTGTGAGCCGAACCGGGACATGCTAGCAGTTAGCGCAGCTTGCGGAGTCTAATAGCGTTTTATGAGGCAATCGGCAGTCTTGCTAATGCGTGTGTCGCATGAAGGACGTCCCGAGTTGTTTTGTGTGTGATGCTGATGCAGTCTCTAATGAGAGATGTCAGTGCGTCAGCGATGTCAACACATGATGTGCGGCAGCATGTGTCAGGCCCAAGCATGCAGTTGGGCATGACACTAGATGTCAAACATGTCGAAACAAGCAGGAAGTCATGTGTACTGCACTGTACCAGCTGCGTCCTGCGTGACTTGTAGCTGGACAGGGCTCAATTTTGACGCATCAGGAACCCTGAAACTCGCCAGCAAGCAGCATGCAACTCCGTGTGACACTAGCAGTGAGATGATGGTGCGTTATTGTCTTGTTCGAAGGGGGCTTGCATTGGAGCAAGCCAATGTCCTGTCGTATGAAAACCACGACTTGCTGGTGGAAAAGTTTTTCCAATACCGTTTGCAGGAGCCCCCGCCAGGGTTTTCCAGAGTGTCCATGCACTAGATGCAAGCGGCCGACAGGAAGTTCTTTGTGCGGCTCGCAGAGGCAACGCGATCTGGCATCAAGGCATCAGCAGTAGGGCGGCCATGTGGCAAGGCCTTCCAGTCCTGTTTGACCAGTTCAGAGTTTCTCACCATTTTGCAGCACAAGCCCTTAGCTGTGTACAATGATGATGGGCGTGAGCCGCCGCTGAAGCGCCCTCGTGTCGAGGGCGGCAAAGGCAAAGGTGCCAAAGGCCAGGGCGAGGCCCAGGCGGGCAAGGGCGAGGGCAAAGGCGAGAGTGCCGGGCGCGTGCCTGCTGAGCTCCTCGCTCTCGGGTGTGTCGGGGCAACCCCCAAGGGTCATCGCCTCTGCTTTGACTATAGTTTGAAGAAGTGCTGCGCGACTGTCCAGAATCAGCGCTGCGCTAAGGGCTTGCATCTTTGTGCCGTGAAAGGGTGCCACAAAGCGCACGCAGCGTTGGATTGCAGCCTTGCCAAGGTGCAAGGGCAGCATGAGTGACTATCGCCGGATGCCCCGGCGATAGGCGCAGTCAATGTGACCTGCGCGGATGTTGTGCGTGCGTCAGGGGGTGACGTGCGTGACCACCTGGCGCACCAGCTCAATGCAGAGCTAGAGGCGCCCGGTGTGGTGTGCCTATCGGCCTCTCATGTGGAGGGCCATGCAAATGAAAAAAATTTACCGCGTGACGAGGGGCATGTACATGCCCAGCGTCAGCACGGCTCTCATGTCGAGAGCCATGATCATGGGATGCCTAAGCCTGTTGCAGTGGGGCAACAGGGGACGGCCAATGTTCCTCGTGTTTTTGGGGAGTTCCTGCCCCATTCTGTCCTGCTGCAGCCAATGGCAGAAGATCAACAAGCTGCAGCAGGTCTCAGTTCCAGCGATGCCAGCAAGGCGACCGATGCGGACGCCAGCCCTGCTTGGGGCCCAGTGCCGGAGACCCAAGTTGTCGTAGTGCCAGGGTGTGCTCAGAATGTTCCGCCCATGCAGGGGCTTGATGCAAGCCCGGCAGTGTGTGATCAGCATGAAGTTGATAAGAGCGTGAGCCTGCTTGATAGCCTGCCTCAGGATGGGCCTCTTTTCATGGAAATTTGTGCTGGATCTGCAACCCTTAGTGACGTGGCTAGGCGCCGTGGTTTTGCAATCATGCCTGTAGACTGTGAGCCCAACGAGCATCTGACAAAGTGCAAGATCTGTTCGCTCGACGTCACCACTCCACACGCGCAGAATGTACTTAGTTATGCGCTTAGAAATTGCAGGGTTGCGTTTGTTCACATGGCTCCTCCATGTGGAACATGCAGCAAAGCAAGGGGCATACCATTGCCTGATGGCAGCCCGGGACCACGGGTGCTTCGCAGTGCAGAACATCCATGGGGGTTGCCATGGGTTGGTGGTGTAGATCGCGTCAAACTTGATGCTAGTAATGCTGTGTACCGCGTGCTAGCCGAGTGCGTCAACCTGTGTGAACAGCCAAGTATCCCGTGAGGCTGGAGCGGATTAGCAAGTGGAGGACATGGTCCACAGAGCTGCAGCTAGAAGAACGAAAGGCCAGGGCAAGGATGCACCCGAATGTCCGGAAGGTCCTTGGACGAAAGCGCACTGTCCCGCTCGAGCGCATTGCCGAGTCCCTCGAGTGGCCTGACAGAAGTTTGTGCGAAGAGCTGCGTTCTGGATTCAGGCTGGTTGGCAACGCCACGCCATCTAATGTATTTAGGCCTGGAGTCACGGTTGCCAACCTCAGCGAGCAAGACCTCATGGAGCAGTCGCGTTACTTCAGACCGGCCATCCTGTCGAGAGTTGCTGCAGAACCTGAAGGCCCCCACTGCCGCGAGCTGCTTGAGATCACGCGGAAGGAGGCTACGGACAAGGGGTGGCTGGATGGGCCCCACACTGTCAAGGACGTGTTTGCCCAGCATCACACGTGGCTGCCTGTCAGAAGGTTCGGAGTCCAGCAAGGTGCCAAGCTGCGACCGATCGATGACTTTAAGGAGAACCGTGTGAATGAGGCGTACAGTTGCACTGAGCGCGTGGTGCTCCAAGCCATGGACCACCTTTTGTGGTCGCTAAACATCATGACGCGCTTTTGTCGTGAAGGTGGCATCGTGGACCTCACCCTGTCCACAGGAGAGCGGCTTACTGGGCCTGTGCATGACCAATGGATGCAGCACGGTGCTAACCTGAGGGTCACCTCGCTGGACTTGCGTTCAGCGTATAAGCAGCTCCCACTGCACCCGCTGGATTACGACAAGTCGGTGATCTGCATCAAGTGCCCAGACGCACGTGAAATCGAGTGCTATTTCATGCTGACACTACCCTTCTGGTGCCAGAGCCAATGTGCATGATTTCCTTCGTGTGAGCACCCTACTACATGCTGCGGGCTGTGCCCTCGGAGTGTGTTGGGCATCTTATTTTGATGATTACCCTATGGCTTCACATGCGCTGACTGAATCCTCCACCATGGCTGCATGCAAGAGTTTGCTGTCTTTGTTAGGGTTTGATTATGCAGATGACAAGCTGAACCCTTTTGCGCAGTTGGCTGACATGCTAGGAGTGCAGCTCGACGTCAGTGAGGCAGCAGGGTATCATCAAAATCCGGAACAAGGAGTCTCGAGTTCGAGAACTTAAACCTGGTCTTGACGCTGCCATATCAAGCGCGAGCTTGGTGCCTGCGCAGACTTGCCATCCTTCTTGGGGAAACTTCAGTATGCCGAGGCGCAGCTATGGGGACGAGCAGGCAGATTGGCGCTATATGACTTGCGCCAACTGAATCACTTGCAAAGGACTCCCGTCCACCTTGATGACCCTGGCGTTGCAGCGCTGCCAGTTTTGCGGGACAGACTGCTACACGGTCGTCCACGGACCATGAAAGCCTCTGTGCCTACTCGACCTTTCCTGGTCTTTGCAGATGGCGCCTTGGAATGGTCGCAAGCGTCAATAGGAGGAGTGCTCATGGAACCGCAGCAAGAAGGCTCTGCCTCAGTTTTCGGAGGCCCAGTCCCACATGATGTGAAAAGTACATGTCGTTGGACTGGTAGAGCTCTATGGAGCTATCGTAGCTCTCAGGCATTGGCGGTCTCGGTTTTCCGGAAAGCGTGTGATTGTCTTCATCGACAATTGGCCTACCCTTGATGTCCTCATTAAGGGTGCAGCTTTCGTGCCACTGTGGAGAGAACTCCTCCTGATGCTGGAAGATCCGCTTGAGTCCGAACCAACACTGTGTTGGTTCGCACGAGTGCCGTCAAAGTCTAATGAAAAAAAAAGATGGCCCGAGCCGGGCTACCCTGGATGAGCTGCGGGCTTGGTGTCTCCAAATAGTCAAGCCTGTGTGCCCCTTGACAGGTCAGAAGATAGCGTCCTACTTCGGCTAAAGCAGACTGGGGAGAAATGATATGTGCGTGGTGGCAAAGCCAAGGCGCTGAACAGCAGAAATCCTTTTGCTGTTACTTGCGAACCCTAGTTTGCGAATGCGCGAAAAAGAACAGGGAGCCCGAGTGCACTGCAAGGG